TCAGTCACACTCTATCTTTTATTTATCACAGATAATAAACACTTTGACGACATCGGCTTTTTGAGCTCGCTTGAAGGCCTTCAGCGTATCCTCGAGAGTATAGTGAGCTCTTGTGAGCCCTGATAGGTCGATTCTTCCAGACGCCACAAGATTGAGCGCCGTCGGATAGCTAAAGACCGATTTGATAGGTCAGACGATAAGTAAGGGCTGAACTAGGGTAAAAGGGCACTCTGAAATCAAAGGAAGTGCTAAGGCTATACAGCCCGGTTCGCTGCGGATGATTGGGCGGTCAAGGGTTGCTGGGTTTGGCGCGCCGTCAACCCTTCCTCCACCCGCCGGTGAAGGGCTAAGCGTCATAGACAGATGTAAAACGACTGACACGAACCTTATAATACACTTTCGCTGCTCGCCGGAAGGAAAAAAGTTGGTGTCGGACCAAGACCTTCCCCTGACACGCCCCTTCATCCACGACGAACAAGACTTTGGAATACAAAAGCGAGGGAAGCGTAGAACATTGCGACGAGGCAAGCCTTTCTCAAGTCAGAAGGGCGACACATTTGCAAAACCGTTTGGATCAAAGAAAGGTCTCGAGGAAATAAATGAAGTCCACGAATTTTGAAGTGTCGCTGTACCCGTAATATCAGATCACTCATCGGAAATCGGAAGTCGTAAAGCAAGGTTTGCCGGAACTTCTGAACACTGACTCTGAGCTGAGTCAGCCTCCATTGAATACACTCACCAATTCACATATCTGAACACGCCTCTGATATCGACCTCTCGAACAGCAGCATCCACCACGGGCAGTTCTACCCGTGCTGCTCCTAGACCAACCAGCACTACCACGCCTCCCGAACGAGTACTCTAAAAAGGTAACCTCCCAGTGGTGCAGGAATGATGGACGTTCTTGGTCACTTACCAAAATCGCTGACTCGATAGAAGACTGCGCTCCGGTGCATTCTAGAGCGACGTCAGGTTCAGTTCCCAAGGCTTCGATAACAGCCTTCCGCACCTCGGCCGGCGACTTTCCTCTGGAATAGATCTCAGTCAAAGGAGTCGGGGTACTGTTAGACTATATGGTGACTTACGTTACACAAATCGCATGTTCAGCTCCTAGTTTCTTGGCCAGATCAAGACGATCTTGGCTCAGATCTGTTATAACGACTTCGGAAGCACCCAGCGTTCTCGCTGTCATCATACAAAGCGTCCCGATAGGACCTTGAGAACATTGTTAGACAGGATTTTTCTCAGTAATTGAATTCGTGCGCTAGTCACCTAAGGGGGGGGGGGGGGGGAGGCGACCTGTAAGCTTTTTTCACTGAGTGCCTTTGTCCTTGCTTGCTTTTGCCTTTCAACAACCGTGTCTTACCTTGCAAATCCTGTGAATTCCTGTGTAGCATCCTGTTAAGTCCTGTCAAGTTCGGTGAAATGGTACTGAAGTCATTGAAAAGCTATTTTCCCATTTTTTTTGACCAGTAGTTCTAACAAGCCTGACAAGAGTTCACGGTGTACTTGACAGATGGTAGCAAGGCTTACAGGGACTGTCAAGGTCGTCTGGTACTCATTGATGTTCTGACAAGCGCTTACAGGTGTGCCGCCCCCCCCCGTAAGTTATTAGCGCTTGACTCTATTATACCTGCCCCCTGTACCAGAACACGTTGTCCCATCTGCACTCCAGATCTTCGACAAGTATGCACGGCTACTGAAAGTGGCTCTAAAAGAGCTCCTTCCTCGAAGCTTACGTGATCGGGTAACCTAAAAGTACCTAAATTACTCGAGGTACAAAAATATAAAAATACTTCTTGAGAAGATCATTCTGCGTGAAATCTAACGGTAAAGCCTAAGGAGATCACAGAGGCGGCGTGAAGCTTAGATGTCTTTCATTTCAGAGCGCCCCTGGCGTACCAACGTGAAAAGCACAATGGCAAGCGTGTCTCCGCCCATACGATCAGCGTAGACTGTGCCCTGAGCAGAAAATCAAACGTAATCAGAAGTGAACGAGCCTTACTTATAGCAGAAATCCGCGTCGTACGCAACGTATCGTGCCAAGGATCCATCGATGGGAGGCGTGGCAAAGAACCTCATATCAGTACATAGATTATATCGGCCTGTCTAGAAAAGAATATTTTCTGAGAATATTCATTCCGGGGTCGAATTGAAGCATTACGAACTCATATAGAAGCATTACGATAATGTTTCAGAGTGTAAAATATGGCCATGAACACTAAAGAAAAACACGACTTATGCCTTCAAATTGCTGTGGTTAGTTGGAGACGCGCGCGGGTGCGCTGCGGCTGTCAACCCACATACCTAGCGCTGATCTGGAGCTCTGACAATACAGAAAAGCAATTGCTGACCG